ATAAATTAAATTATAAGTTATGTATCTGCATATTTGACAGTTTATCCATACTTGTCTATATTTGGGATCGAAAAGCGATGAAAGGTGTTATAAACCGATAGATATAGAAATAATTAAAGTCAAAAATAAAACGAAACAAATTGATCTCTGTAAGAGAAATTTTATACCTACCCTTGCATTCGTATTTTTTTAAATCTCAAAACCGGCTTATTAGTTAATAAAACGAGTTCTTGTTTTAAAAATAAACTGACACAGAGACCCATTTACGAAGCGAAGTGATATAATTCGCTTTTTCCAGGAATATTTAGGGAGCTTATTTTGGGATGCGTCACAACCGCATTTACATATGCACTCTATTTGAACCCACTTACGCGACTTCGTTGATGATTCATACTTTGTAATTACTGGTAATTGCATCAAGTAGTTTGTTCATAGAAGGAAGTAGAAATTAATTTGATGTATCAACAAATTGTTTGAATTTTATAAGACTTAGAGGTTCGAGGTGCTTGTTCAGCACAATATGCGTTTCTTAAAAAAACAACAAATTGAATTAGTTCATGGGAGTTAACTTCCTGTTGGCATAAATACTATTTAAATTCCATGTAATATAAATATTTTGTAATAAAAAACATTCTTTGTAGTGAAAGGGCCTATTCTAAGTAAATACGTAAATGAACATACAGGGTGCTTCATCAAGAATGGGACACAAAACAACTGAAGATTATCTGTTTAAAAATTGAACGATTAAATGAAGCATGATTAGATAAAATATTACTGAATTTTTAAATTAAAATTTAAAATTTAAAAATTATGAATTGCAATATTTTTTTTATTTCTCGATATAATTTTGGTGCTATAAAATATACCAATCAACAAAACAATCAGTAAAATAAACTTTACCACTAGACGCAGGGATAAGTAACGCCTTCGTCCCCTCCATTTTTTGATGTTTTTATTTTAAATAAATCGCGATACGTATTAAGCTAGCGTAGCACCTTTGGGTTTTTCACATTCTGAGTATGTCATAATTTTAGGTTCACTTTACCAACATAAAAATTTGTTTGCTCCTTTCTTTATAGAAAAAATTAGGTGCACTTTTAGCTTGATAGTATCTTCAGATATTTCTCAATTTTGATAACGCCATAGTGTATGCTAATTTTATACCAATCTAAAAAAAATAAAGGAAAAATTAGATAATCTGCTCACTTAATAAAAGACAACAATGACTCCAAAAATGTTCGCTCAGTATAATTTTATAAAAAAATCAAGAATTACAAAATTAAAATATAAACTGAAATAAAGTGTGAGTGTGAATATCTCAAAAACCAATAACTTTATGAGTTCCCAACAAGAGTACATAATTTATTTAAAAAAAAAATGTAAAAGAATAGTTTAAATAGGTTTTTGTAGAGTTGCGTAAAATTTATAGGGGATGAAGGTGTTTATTTAATTGATGGACGCATCTTATAATAAAAAATAATAAATTAGAGATTAATAATTTTTAAACTTTCAACTCCCTGTATTTCGGAAACCAGTAATATTTTAACTAAGCACGTTTCATTTAGTTGTCCTATTTTTAATCAGTGCTGCTTTAGTTGTTCTGTGTTCCATTCTTAATGAGACACTCTGTTGCATTAGCAATGAAACATTTTTATTTTGAGCCATTTATTTAAAAATCATCGTCAGTGCTTATCTACATCATTTTTCTTTCAATTAAAATTAACGTGTCTCGACTGCTGATGTCATTGTCACGACTACAATTATATAAAGCGTGATTTTACAATAGTGAAAAGGTTAAAAGTCTTTTGAGAAACTGAACAGACACTGGTATTCTGCAGGTTCCCCTAATATTTCTTGTAGTCTTGATTTCAGCTTGTTTCGTCTCCTCTGTTTGGAAAAGTGTTGCAATCTACCAAAATATGTTTTACAGTCAAGACGCTGTCACAGTAGGTAGTAGGTGCATATGGGTGCCTCGCTGGTCATTAAGTGGCTCTGTGTTAGTTTAGTGTATCCAATTCGTAATCTTCTTATTATGACTGCATTTGTTCTGGGCATAGAGGATAATCTGGGGGAAGCAATAATGGGTTGTATGTCTCGCAACTGTGTAGTCTCTATATTCGATTGTGTTTACCAATTGCCGTGAACTGTTTTCATGAACACACTCTTGATATATTTAAATATTCTCAACTAGTACGACCAATGTGGAAGTTTCTCTGGCTGCACGATTAGCCACTTCATTACCATTGACTCCAACGTGAGATGGGATCCAAATGATAGTGATGGACACTCCATTTGTCACAAGGTTGTCATAGGTGTCATGAATTGCATGGATTGATGAAAGCCTGTACAGATTGCAGTATGATGCTCATAGGATGTTAACATCCGGAATGTTTTAAATATGTCATATATAACTCTCCAGTGTGTACTCCACATGTGAAAGGCAGTTTAATGAGCTTGTTGATGTTAGTGGCAACAGAACTACTAACACCTGATTTATTTTTAGAGTAGTAAAAATAATTGTGTTGAAATAGTTTTTATAGATGATATTTAGGAATGTTGGTGTCTCAGTCTTATTAAAGATGCTTAATGAAGTGTTTATGTGTGATAATTTTCTATTCCATGGTGGAATTGCAGGAACAGAGAAAAGGGTAGTTCTGGAAAGATCAAAATTATCAAGTATAGCTTTCAGAATATTAGGTAGTGGTTGAGCTCTTCTAGTCGATTGTGTATTAGGTATCATGTTATTTGTTTGAATGAAAAATCGAATATGCAGGATTTTGAGGATTGGCAAATACACTAGCTGCATATGAGAGGAGAAGGTGTTTTAGCCAAAGTGGAGGTTCATTATCCTCATAGTATATACTTGATCTAAAAATACCAATGCATAGCCTAAGAACAGTATTAAAGCTTTTCAGACTAGTCTTGGATGCAGTCATGTAAATGATGCGGCAGTAATCTAATTTGGACTGTATCAGAGATCCAATTAATCTAAAACAATCGATTATTGAAAAAAAAAAGATTATCGATTTTTGTATTTTGTTGAATATTTTTGTGCTTTTAATTTTTTAATTATTTAAACAAAAAATATAAAAAAAATATTTGAGTAGGAAGTGTACTACTAGATGACATTATAAAGATTAAATTTTATTTAAATAAAAATAATTTGCAAAAATTCCATAAAACATTAATTTAAATATTGTTTTAAATTTTTTTTTTCTAATACGCCTGACATGTCAAGTGTTACAATAGCTGACATTGTAGGAAATAGATGACAATAATTAAACAAAGAGGGAAAAATACTAATAAAAATAAAATTTATTTGTAAACATAGTTTAATAAACATATTCTTATTTTACATGTTCTATATAGACAATATATACATATATAAAATGGTAATACATTTTTCAATACAAATAATGCTTTATATGTACTGTCCATATTCTACCTTTGTGTTTTTAAATTCATCTAATAACATGTTCATCCCAGTAACAATCAGTCATGCAATTACCAGTTCCGGATCTATTGGAAATGTTATTTTGTAATAATTGTAAAAAGGAATGTGGAGCTACTTGTGGATTTTGAAAAACTGGCTTATATTGTAGTGTATCATGTTCACAGTGCAGCGAAAATAGTTGTTTCAATACTCCATCTATTATTCAAATAAATGAAGTGAAAGAAAATATTTAATATGTATAAAAATTTTTATTGTTTAAATAAATAAAAAAAAAAAAACATTTTATTAGTAATTTTCTGTTTTAACCGTCTTCAAAAAAGTAAGTGGTTCCCAATTCGTGGGACTTTTTTTATGTAAGCTCAGTGATCATTCTTTACCACGTTTTCCGATTTCTATGATTCTTTGTTAGAAAGGAAGTATCTCAGGGGTAGTCCCATATAAATTTGGTCAAGATCTAATAATGGAGTCCATGAGAAAATCATCAAACTCTTAATTTTTTATATATTTTCAGCAATAATTCTTTACCGCGTTGTTCGATTTCAAGGATTCTTTTTTTTTTTGTTAGAAAGAAGATACCTCAGGAGTGGTCCCATTACAATTGGTCAGGATTTAATTACGGGATCAATGAGAACATACAAAAACTCAATTTTTAATGGCATCTGCACGGTTTTTTAAAATTACTTTCATATTAATTTCTACTTTATGATTTTTAATAGATAAATATGCAGATAAATGAGGTACCGATAAAATGCCACAATATTTAAATAGTTTAAATAACAAAATTACTTGTTTATTTAATTTGTCTTCGTTTGAATATACTATTTGAATTATTAAAATTCTCATTTATTTTATTTAAGATCACAATTTTTAAATTGGTAATTTTTTTATATATATTAATAGCAAAATATTCCATTTAAAATTTTTAAATATTATTCACTGCAGCTCAAGTTCGAGGTTTTCATGTTTTTAAGGCCTCAGGCGCTCCACTACAGGGAAACTTTTGCTTTTTAAGAGTTTCAGATAAAATAAAAGCGGTAAAAATTAAAATAATTTTTGCGCTTGTAGAACGCAATTTACCATTTCTAGTAATGGATAATCTTAGTGCAATCTTTTCATGATTCGGGAAGCTTAAAAATAATTCGGAATTTCATTGTATTAAAACGGCCGATGCCAAAGAAGTTTTAAGAGGTATTGGTACAAAGTTTTATAAATGCTAAAATTATTGGAAAAATTGAACCTCCATTTTAAATTATTACAATATACGATATACAGTACTGGCAAGACTAAATCTTTGGTCCTACTTTGCTTGAGTTGGTGTTACCATCCAAGACTTTCTATGGAGAATAACTTTTTTTATAAAATTAATATTAAAAAAATTTTGCATAAGGTTCCAACAAATATAATGGATCATTGATACACATTTTTTAAAAACAATATAAGTTCGGTGACCTTAAAACAAACAAAAAAATAGAAATATTAAAACTCAAAGCAGTACATTAAAATATATTGCAAAACAATAATTACAGATAGAATAAAACTAATAAATTCACGCTTTTTAATTTCTAATATTGCAAGTATTACCACTATGATAGTGATCTCTATACTTTTGCCTCCGGGACCTCTTTTTTTCATCATTAAAACCGTGTTGGTTGTCCAAACCTTTATGTCTATATTTATGCTCTTTAAGATATTTATTATTAGATCTATGAACCTTCTGCTTTTGATAATATTTTTGCTGCTGCCAATCATTTTCCTCCAAGTTATATTCTGGTTTATCTTGAGAAACAGCAGCTATATTAGATTTTGGAACATGTGCGTAAAAGTGATCTTCAAGATAAAATTTATCCAAATTTTCTTGATATTGTTTGTGTTGCTGACGCTTCTTTTTAGATTTATGTGTTTTTAGATCGCCAAAATCTTTATATTGTTGCTTTTGGTATTTTTCTTTGTATGGATAATAACTATTTAATTCAATCAACGGAAATTTTCCATAAAGGTTACCACTAGGTTTACGTTTACCATACACAAATTCCTCCTTAATATCATGAATAGTTTCTTCGTTTTCTTCAGATTCGTCTTGGTTCTGTTCGTAATCATAATTATCTGGTTGTGTGCTTAACATTAACAAATGTTTATACATATTACGAGGTGCGTATATTTCAGGAACTAACATATCACTAGTTGAACTAAAACCCTTTAAATGTTCGGTGTCAAACTGATATTTTTCAAAATCTTTTGCTGGGTACAATAGCAGCTCTTTGGATGGTCGAAAATTTGAAATCGTTTCGAGATTGGATTTTGATAAAGTTGATTCTGTCGAATATTCAGAAGATTGTAAAGTGTTTCCAAAATTTAAGGGTTTAGAGGTAACTAAGGTTTCTCTCTCGTCTTCTGATAGTTTGTAGAGTTTTGTAGAACTGATGAGGATCATGAAAATTGTGATGCGCTGAAATAAATAGGCTTGTATTAATTTCAGATTAAGCTAATAAGAAATATTCTTAATATTTTTTAAAATGTCAAAATTTTAGGAATCAAAATACTGATGTGCTGCTATATAGTACGTAGTAAGAGTTACGGTGACTGGATCAAAGGGGTTTGACTCATTATATACGTAAGGCATTGGGACAGTCAACAAAGTGATGCAGTATTTAGAACGAAATTCGTCCTTCACACTATGTAAAATTTAAAATATATAGCGGACCATTCGGCAAAGATGCATGATCAACCCTACATTTCTAAAAATTCACCGGGACTTAAAAACACCTAGACTACCTATCTCCCTGTAAATCTGTCTGTGTCGGCAATGTTGTGAGGAAATGTTAATAACATTACAATCAGGGATGCACCTATAGTCTAGAGATAAAAGGAGTGCAATAATTTAATGAACGTAGTACAGGTTCAAGAGGTAGACATTTTATTTATACCTCATCCTTCAATGCTTATTTGTAGTTAAAATGAAAATTTTAATACATCTGATAGGCCTAATAAAAGTTTTCGTTTTCATGTTTGCGTGGTTTTTACTATAATAAACCTTTTCTGTTGACAGATAAGTCAGACGTTATTTATTCATAGCGATATCGAAGGTATTTTAATTTATTCCCGATTTTGTATTAGTATCCGGGGAGGAATAGCCAAATGGAATAGATTCGGTAATAAATAAATGGGAGCTTGTTCAGAAAAACGCTCGGACACATCGATTGGTATTTTTGGTTGCGCATTTTTTTAACAAAAACTTTTTATATGGGGTGTGTCATAAAACAGTGACCAATACCAACTTTCTTATTTTAAAGGTAACACCCTGTATATTTTTCAATTTTTGGATTCTTCAGAAAATACTAGACATATTTTATGTACTATGTCCTATACCTAACTGTTTCGGAAGTATTAAAACCTAGCTGACTTAAGAAAATGAATAACGCTTGCGATTAGATCGGTCACTCCTGAGATGTTGAGTAACGTTAGGAGACATTTTTCAGATTATAATGTTGTTAAGAGGTTCGCGCCGTGCATTTTGAACATCTCCTACATTGAGAATTTTTTTTTTGTTACATTATCAAGAAATAAACAATATTACTTATTAGTTTTTGAGTGTGTTGTAACGAATTTCTGTAATCAAATAATTTTATTTTAATTAAATGGGGATGATGCTGCTGGCTACATCCTCATCACGAGTGCCAGTTCTTAGACTGGCCACAGCTCGTATCTTTTGGTTTAACACTAGCTTTTGTATTCGTATAATATTACTATGAACAGGAACACATTAACTTTCTTTTACAACTATTCTATTATCTAATACAGGGTTTCTTATATAAAAAATTAAGATTACAAGAATGACTTTTTCCGTTGACTTCTGCTAAAAAAACAACTTGCCTAGCGACCGTATTCCTACGTCCGAAAATGATTGTGACGCGCGAATGTTGCGAAACGGGGTACCCGGGTTGCTCATTAGAAATGTGTCGTCATATATTTATTGTCAAAATTCCTACATTAATAATGTTAATTTATGCAATAAATAGGAAAACATTTAATGTTTCCGAAACCGTTAGGTATAGGACATTATAATTATAAAAACATTATCAGTCCTCCTAAATCCTTGAAGGCAGAATTACTCCTAACAGCAAGGCAACATAAAATCAAATTCAAAAAATATGTTATAGACGAGATAGCCCGAGAAAAAGGAATTAAAATTATCAGATTGCCTTCTTACCACGTAGAGTTAAATCCCATTGAACTGATCTGGTCACAATTAAAAGGTTATGCTTCTCGAGACAATAGATTATTTAAATTACCTAACGTGCAAAATTTGTTTTTGAAAGCAGTTTCAGATGTAAATGGAGAACCGTGGTGACAATACATTTATCATGTTAAAAAGGTGAAAAATTCATTTTGGAAACTGAATATAGCAATGGAAAACTTAATAGACCCTATATTAATAAACCTCAACCACTAGTTATAGCGAAGATAGTGACGTTTAAAGATTAAACAATTTTGTCAGAAGCATAAGAAAATTTAATCTAGGAAGGGCATTGTATATGCTGTAAGCTTATTTATATTATAGAAACTTATTTTGCAAAGTACGCCTATAGAATGTGACGCTATATCCCCATACCGTCACGCGTCATCGGTTCCAAATGCCGAAAATGTGGTCAAACGACCCTAATTGAAAGTTCAATCTAGGGACATTTTCAGCTCTATTTATGTGTTATGAATTTGTCTTAATTGTATTTAATAATTAATAATAAATTACTAATTAATATTAACGCAGATATGTATTAAGTTCCTAATAGATAAACATAAAATATCTAATCATTTTTAATTAATCATCAAATTATTCAATTACTTAAATTGTATGGATAATAACATTTATAATCAAATCTTTCGCCATGTTGAATTTTGTTTTTAAATTTTCTTTTCAGATCAGCAACCTTATTTAATATCTATGATCAAAATTTCATTATACATATTCAGTGACTCCGAAAAGCCCTATATCCGAAGTTTTTTGAAAATAGGATCGTTTTTACAATTTTTATTAGCCATTTTGTTATTCAAATTGTCAATTTCAGATTCCTAAGCAGCAACCTCAAAAAGGCCCAAGGAACATCTGAAAATAGGATTGTTTTTATCATATTTATCCACCATTTTGTTATTCTAATTGTTAATTTCAGATTTCTAAGCTAAGATCTAGAAAAAACCTATATTCCAAATTTTATGAAAATATTATTGGATCCACCATTTTACTTTTCAAATTTTTGATTTTGAATTTCTTAAGCAGCGACCTTGAAATTTTATGAAAACAAGACCGTTTTTATTGGATCTACCTTTTTGTTTTTTAAATATTTAAATTTAGATTTTTAATCAGTAACCTCTACAAACCCGATATACAAATTTTCATACAAATGTTCATACATATATTTTGGCCACATTATATCATAATCTGGCAGTCCATTTCAAACGTTTAGTATATTTTTTGAAGAATCCAAAAACTGAAAAATATACAGTGTTTTGTATTTAAAATAAGAAAGTTGGTATTGACCACTGTTAAATGACACACCTTGTATAAAAAGTTTTCGTAAAACAAATGCGCAACTAAAAATAGCAATCGACGTGTCCAAGCATTTTTCGAATACGCCCCCATTTATTTATTACCAAATTTGACTGTTTCACACCGTATATTACAATTTTTGAAAAGATGTAAGAGGATTTGAAAAGAGCCTAAAACATCCATTACATGTTATATCAAAATGTCAGATCGTTTGTTATTTTCTTCTCTAATATATTTCTTTTATAAATTAAACGAAAATTTAAAAATGGTAATCTTAAAAAATCCACATGCTTCCTCTGGATTTTTACATGCATATCGTTGTAGTGCTAACACCTCGACCATCACAGTGTGTAAAAAAAAATAATATAGAAAATGAAATACAAAAAGAAAAATTAATGTTAAGAAGTATCTCAAAATTAACAGTGACTTTTTATACGAATAGTAAAATGACCAATAAATTTTATCGTTTTAAACATCAGAAAAATACACTTCTAAAGAAATACCTGCTATTGAGTAAAAATGTGCATATTTTAAATCTGTACTCCAGAGCCAGAGTATGGTAGGACCGAAAACTTAGTTTTTCAGGAGAGCATTTTTAATATATTCATTTTAGACTGTAGACTGTGGTTAAAAATTAGCTATTTTTGTTATTTTAAAAAGATGCGTCAAAATGGAAAATACCAAACGATGCGCCGCAAAATTTTAAGTCACTTAACATATTTACCTAAAATTTGTCCAATTTGGACTTAACATAGTTTAGCTCTGAGGTACAGAAATGCAATACAGAATATGGAAACGTAGGTATCAATACCTACTTTGGAGACTCATATTTTATAAATTTTGTTAAACAATTTTATCCAAAAGGAAACAAAAACATTTTTATGAATTTTGAATTTTTTTCTAAACTTGATTACGTTGGTAACTATCCTAAGGTGTCATCACTTAAGAAGTAGAATTTGCAAATTTTTAAATACCATCACTAAATTATTAGCAAAATAATAAGAAAAATCAAAATTTGTATATCTACAATATTTGATACAAATTATTTTAAAATTAAAATTTACTCACCCATACTTCCATGTTGATAACTTCTACATAACTAAGACAAAAATTAAGAACAGCAGGACTTTTATATTTCATATTTAATATCTAGCTATTTCAAATTATAAAAATATTTCATTTATAATTACTACACATGGAAGAACTAGATGAATTTAATGATCTAAAGAAAGAGATAATTGTATACCCATAAATAAGAAAAAATTGGTTGTAACTGTATAACTGTAATAGTTGTAACGATTAAATTGGTAATTAAAAATAATTTTTATCTATATATGAACTTCCTGTGAATTAAAGGCATCAGCACTTCAATTTAAAACTTTCATGGTAGGTACCTACTTACTTGTTATAAATTGCGCATTTTTATTTTTTCAAAATTCTACCGTAGAAAAATATATATAAAAAAATTGACAACGTCTCTAGTAATAATAATTAAAAGTTCATTAACCACTACCTTGTGCTTAAAAACAATTCAATTTTGTTCAATTATTAAGATCTTTATATTAGCTGATAGACATGATATAGCACAGGCATGGACGAATATCTATCATTATATTCGAAAAAGTTAAACATGGGTTAATACTGGACATAGTAACAAAAATTTGGCACGATATCTACATCAAAACTAAAAAACAAACCTTTATGGAAGGGGTCTCTTGTGGATTAAAAAATCAAACAGGAAAAGGAAATCGTTTAATAATAACCCATATTAGAAGCACTGATGAATTTTCGCCAGATGATTTATTAATGTTCGAGTCAAGGAAATCAAAAGACTGCTATAAAGAAATGGGTGGCTCTATATTTGAAAATTGGTTTCAGAACATTATAAAAACTCCGTTATTGTTTTGGATAATACATCCTATCACAGTCGCTTAAAAGAAGGTGGAAAAAAGATATTTCAACATGGCTTCATTCTAAAAATATTATCAGTCCTCCTATATCCTTGAAGGCATTTTATTGGGATACCCTGTATTACTTATTGGCGCCTTGAATCTTTAAACTTTTGAAATACTTTCACGATTTGATTGTTCTCTATAATGCTTTCATCCTTAACTACTGGATGTGTAAAATAATTCCCCATTTTTTCTGAATTTAGATTTCTTAAAAAATTTACTAAAAAAAAATATTTTTATTTCATTCTTTCATAATTTGGGTAACGCAACCAACATAGTAGTTATTAGTTTTGGTTTTTGGACAACAGAAATTAACTACTACAAAAATTCCTACTTCTATTGCAGAGTAGCATCATTAGTATCGCTTTGTTTTTAAAGGAACATATTGTCTTTATCTTCATCCTGCATTTCTTCTTCTTGATCACTCTTATTTTCACACACACATTCTTCTTCAAGTTTTTCATCTTCGCTTATATCTTCTAGGGTTATCTTCGCCTCACCATCAGATCTCTCCATATCTCTTAAGGAAATGCCTTTGCCAGAAGGCACTTGCATTTTTTTCTACGCCCCTTCTTATAGTCTTGAGTAATAGTATACTTTCCTGAAGGAGTGTCTTAAGGGTGTTATTCTAATGTTTCTCATTTACGCTTTCGTTTTCCTTTCTCTTGGGATTAAGTATTTTCTTGTGAACAGCATCTGGTGACAATGAAATAATTCCACAGGCTCGAAAGCCAGACTAAATGTTCCTTTTTTATATTTTCGATTTTTTCGATTGCTTTCTTTAAACGGCAGGGAATTCCGATTTGAGAATACAACCTCTGTTTTTCATTTTCCATTCAGCAAGCACAAATCGCCAAACTGTTTCAAATGGGCGAAAAAAAGACACGTCTAAGGGTTGTAGTACATGTTCCATTCAGTGGCAATAACACAAAATGAATATAATTTTGGTCGCAACACCATATAACGTGTATCGAAGTGTGAGCTGCCAAGTTGTCCCCAATTTAGACCTTTCTCCTTGGAAGCTTTTTATAGTATAGTAGGTAAATATTATTAAAACAATCATCGAAGATCATTGAATCAAACCAACTGGATTTGGTGCGGTTATATACAGTATGATCAGGACCACCTTCTACCCAGGTTGGATACAAATGTACAGAATTGTAAACTACATATATGGGTAGAAGTACACCTGATCCACTAATAGCCATTATGATCAAAGTACTGGATTTTTAATTGTGTGTTCCAAATTTTCAAAATAGGTCTGTATTATTTTCTTCGTAATATTTGCTCTTGATCGTTTGATATTTTGGGAAAATCGTTCAATTAGGTGGGAGGTGGGAGGTGGGAAGAGTTTCATTCCTGTCGTGAGATTAGTTAGATCACCGAGACGCGAAGCGTCGAGGTTAGCTATGATCTCGAGACAGGAATGAAACTTCCTACTGAGGTTTGTATACTATTTTATTTACAACCATCATATTTTGATCAAAGTTAATAAATCTCTGTTTCGTTCTGAACATACCTAAAATATTACATTTAACGTCAAATTACCAAGCGCGCGGTTTTCTCAGAATAATCAAGTAAATATATTGTTACTGTGATTACGGGGTAAACAACTATCACCAACACCAATATAAATAAATGTCAGACAAAGCCGGATATTAAATTCGCGAATAATAAATATAAATAAGTAGTTTGTTGTATTTTAATTCATTGTTGTTTTTTATTGTTTGCCATTAAATTAGGTATTATAAAATTAGTCAAAAAAATGTGTTATTTTTTTAAATATAAAAAATATTTATCTAGAATAGATGAAATGAGGGCGGAAAGTGAGGGAGGGAAGTGAGGGCGGGAAGTAGAGGTGTGTAATGTGACACTTCCCAACCTTCAATGACGTTATTAATGACAACATTACATATATGGTTGTAAATAAATATTATTGCCAATCTGTTCCAGGATAATTATTTTTAAATTCTTTTATCTTTTCTCCTTTTTTGTCTAAATACCCTTTATCTAGCAATCTGATATCTTGTCTTGTAAGAGGAAAAGCCCACTCGCAGAATTTTACCATTCCTTTGGCCCAAATTCTTTCTTTAACTGAAATTGCGCATTGTCCGCCATGTTTCTTACTTTTTGTTCCCTTCATTTTATCATGTAATGTAGATTTTAGCACTTTATAATATTCTAGAACAATGTACTAAATTGTATTAAATTTTGGGTGGACTGTCAATTGTCAAAACTGTCACATATGTTGTCAGTTGTCACGTCAAATCATGTCGAATGTAAACTGTAGGATATATGGGCGTTGTTTGTTTTTATGCTTATGTACTTTGAAAAATTGAAATTGGAATATACCACTGGAATATTCCAATAGTTAATAAGAATATAGTTTTGTTTTAAATTTTATTATTTTAACCAAGTTTAAAGACAAGTTTTTATCTGTTTATCAAGGTAGTTATAAATAAATTGTACGATCACAAACCATTAACTGACACCAGGATTCTGCGCAATAGATAATTTAGCGGTGCCAATAATCTACTGCGCAGAATCCTGGAGTCGGTGGCTGGTTTCTGATCGTTATTGGAATAGACCTTATGTAAAATTCCTTTTCTTTAGGGAAAATACCGCCAATATTTACAATACTTACCCTTATATCGGAAAACTTAGGATTTCGATATATAGATGATGCCACAAAGACGATCAGTATTTCAAATAGTTCTAAATTTTCGCTGATTTGACTTAAAATGTACTTTTGTACTTTGCTGTGAGAATTGTACTAAATTTAGTACAATTGTACTGAAACGGGTTTTAAGCGGCGCAGTACAGGCGCTTAAAAAAACGTTGACCAATACCGTTCTGTTCGAGTTCGCCTCCACAGTCCGACTTCACCCCGAATGACGGTACGCCTATGGAATGTGACGTTTATCGCCACTTTTACTGCACTGCTCTTTTATTCAGACTATAGTCATCCTCATTATTCAATAATACAGCCACTAATACCATATTTGCATCCATTACCAATTCAACCACCACTGCTATTCCAAACCAATAAAAACCACACATGTTATTAAGTCTGGATTGGTCTCTGACTATTCTGAAATTAACTTCTTTATTCCGCCGACTGGACATGCTAACGTTTTACCTTCGTAGTTCATGAGAAAAGTAAAAAGATAATTCTGGAAACTTATCACAATGCTTTCAACACTTGTATTTTGAAGGTTGCGATACAGTCTCCAATAATAATATTTCAAACAATGTGTGTTTTATTGTTTATAATTTAATTTCGGTAGATATATTTTTACATTTGGTCAGGCTTTGTATATTTATATTAAATTATTATTATAAATTAAATCGTTGAAGCTATTAATAACGTTTCCATTTTTCTTACTTATTTATAAAATAAATAGAAACTACATATATTTAAGTGGTGTTTATATTAAAATAAGTTCAATAAATCAAAAAGTTTTGTAAAAATAAACTTATTAAATTGAATCTGAATGTGCTAAATATATTTTTTCTTAGAACTATTGTAATGCCATGCAAGTAAATGTATAGTTGTTTTTCTAAATTGTTCAAAACTTTAGCATATTTTTCTAACTAAAAGTATACAATGTAATTATTTATTATACCAATAAAAACATGACATGTTCGTTTTTTTAAACAAAAACATTGGAAACTACATTCTTATGTTTTGTTAAAACTTTGTTGTGATATGTAGTATCTATATCATAAATAACTTATTTATGTTAGTTAAAATTACAGTAAATTAAACAAGTTGGAATAAGACTATATAAAAATACCATAATATTAAGTACTTTATTATTTCGACTCAATGCATTTCTCATTAACACACCATGAGAGCATTTCCTCGAATGTCACAAAGTAAGTTAAAATTTAAATATTTAATTTATTTCACATAATAATTATTAGATGAAAAATTTAAAACGTTTGCCCCTCTATCAGTTTGAAAATAAAACACTATTTTAAATAATTTGGCAATAAAAATATTTATTTTAAATAATTCTGGCAACAGTGGGCCGAATGTAATGGATAATTAAAACCAGTGGCGGCTCTTGGTAATTTAAAAATGGCTGTTCACTTTTTCCAATAATTTTATCATGTGTAAGTTCG